TCTTCCTCTTTTTGGAGTTATTAGTGGCGCCCAAGTGCTCAGATTCAGCGAAAATGCCATTGATTCGAATCATCTTGGTTAGCAGCTCATCATCATCGTCTTCATTCCTTCTTGGCTGCGTATCTGGCTTGTCCAAGTATCTATTGACTTTGCCTTCTTTCACGAGCTTCTTTAGGTAGTTCTGCTAAGTGTAGCAATAATCGGTTGTATGACCAGGACCTCGGTGGAATGTACAATACTTGGTATGGTCCAACTTGGAAGTATCTCATTTTGATTGTTTTGGCAACTTGAACCACGACTCGTTCTTGATATCACGAAGGATTTAATAGATCGAAATTGAGAACTTAGAATAGTTTTTGGTTATTGGGCTTTCTTTAGTTGTGGGTCGGTCTCTGCGTTGGGCCTCATGCCTACCCTTGCTGGGCTATTTCCCGTTCTCATTCCTTTGAGCAGCTGCCTATTCTTTTCGAGGCTACTCAGGCGCCTTTTCTGCTCGTCGAGCCTTGTCCTAAAGTGCATGCTTCTCTACCAAGGCATAGGAATTTTCTAAAGTTAGGTCTTCTTTCATGATCATTTCCTCGAACAGTGGGTGGTTTGCTGGAACTCTTTTTTGGAATACTGCACTTGCTATCGAGTCATCGCATTTGATGATCTTTGCCTTCTCTGCTTTGAACCTCTTCACGTAGTCGCTGAGTGACTCCTTTGGGTTTTTCTTTACGTTGAATAAGTGATCTGACTTTTTCTTGATCGAGCAGTAAAATGAGTATTCTTTGGTGAAAACCAAGGAAAGATCATTAAAATTCTAGATGGATCGTGGTGACAAAGTGTGAAACCAATCTTATGCATTGCCTTGTAAAGTGGTGTCGAATATTTTGCACATAAGGGCGTCATTGTTCCGATGAAGGACCATCGCGCTTTGGTAGTGCTTCAAGTGCTTCTCTGGATCTCTATCTTATTTGAAAGATGTGAAGTGCGGCATTCTAAACTTACGTTGAGGCTCTGCCTGATCGATCTCATATGTGAAAGGAAACCTGCTTATGTTGGTCTTATCCCGCCTTAGTGCTTCATCAGCCATTTCGTTGCGTTGGAAATCACATAACCGTTCATTGAAAAGTCTTTCTACCTCTTGTTGGATTTGCCATTATTGGGGTAGTGGAGCTATCGGCTGCCCCTGGTCTTGACCTGTTAGTCTAGGCTGTTATTCTCCACCCCCGGCTCGTCTATGTCATGGCTACGGTATATGAGATAGATTCCTAGCAGGCGAGGGGTTTCTTCGCAAGCTGTTCGTTGAACTTGAACCAGATTGAGTGACTGCTTCTCTCCGTTCGTCATGCTGCCTGCTCCGATGTGATGTGGATAATGCTTCATACGAGCCTAACTGTGAATGAACATTTTACCTAGAAGGCTGCTCATGTTGATTATTGGCGCGTGACCCCAACCGCGAATGTATACTTGTCTGTGGGCCTAGTCGAGAGTGCACGCTCATCTGCGCGCTAAGATAGAAATACACGCTGTCTCGGGGGCCTAATCGGGAGTAGTATACACTGCCCGAATGCTCGATTTGTGGTTGGTTGAATGGCTGCTTGCCAGGACACTGCTTGAGAGGTTCCTCGTCTGCCTTTGTCCTACTTCGGGACACTTCATCTGAGGAACGTTGGATCTCGGTGCGTTGCAAAAGTTGATTTACCAAGGTTGTCTGTTGTGCAAGGGTGTTCGTCAATTCTATGACTTATCAGGACAAGTTTTTTTTGCCATTCAGATTGGAAGAGCTTGGATGGAATATGCCTCATTGAGTAGTTGAAGGATGGTAGGCCTCAGCACGAGATTTGAGTTGGGAAATGTCAAATCTGTGGAGAAATATGGTGAAAATGCCCCAGGCTTGATGATTGGTCGAGATGGTCTTGGGCTGACTTGGGCTGCTTGGGAGACCACGGAAGCAGGCTGCTTGACGGAAGAAGGCTGCTTTATGGGAGCAAGTGGGTACGAGAGCGGGCTGCTCGGTGCGTGATGCATGTGAGAGTGAGGTTTGGGCCGTGGCCTTGGATGGCACGGCTTGGGCTGTGGTGAAGGCACAATGGACCTTGCCATGGGTGGCTACCAGGGTAGCCACCGCGGTGGTTCCCGTGGTGGAAACTCGTGGTGGTGGTGCCGCTCCACTTATTGTCACATTTAGCCTCGTGGATCGCCGTGGTCCCATTTCTTGGATATTAGAATTTTCACTTGTGGAATTTTCTAAATTTCTAACCATTGTATTCTTCTTTTACGTTTTATCAAAGAATCTTTGCAAATAAAAAATTCTAATAATAAGAAAGTACGAAAAAATACAAGTGGATTAGAAAATAGAGAAAAACCTTTTTTATGCTAGAGTCTTCTACGAGTGTGGATTTCTTCTCTCAATGAAAGCACCAATTTGTGGATACAAATTTCTGCCTTCTTCTTCTTGGACAAAATTGCACCTACAAAATAATTAACACCTTAGGGTCAAGGCCAAGAGCCTCACGCGCTTACGATGAATTGGGGGGGTGCTTTGGCCGAAGAACCTCTGATGCCAAAGTTAGAATGTAGAGAGAAAAAATGTTTAGAGAGTTTTTGGAGTTTTGCAAGAGTGTGGACCTAGGTTTGTAGAGAAAATGGGGCTTAATATATAGAGTGTGGCCGGTCCCCTTTGGAGAAAAGGTGGCCGGCCTTTGGGATGTTTTTTGGGTGTATTTTGTGGTTTAATGTGTGATTTATTTGGCCATTAATGGATTAATTAGGCAATTAATCCATTAATTGGCCAATTAACACATTTTTAGAGAGAAAATTTTGGAGATTATGGAATGAATAAAATAAATAGCTAATTGATTAGCTAAAAAAGGGTAAAAAAATATATGGAATGAAATAGGTTTTGGGAGTTACCTTGTAGAAGGGATTTGATGAGATAGGTTTTGAATTGTTACCTATTTTGGGCACTTTTGACTTGGTTAAGGGATTATTGTCCGCTGCTCGCGCGTAGGAATCTTGTTATACCTCAAGGGTATTTTTGTCCTCTTTTATCCAAAAATCCACGTGTCGCCTTGTGATTATTTTTGGCTCCACAATCATGATGTGGCCTCTTAGGGTTTTGTAGCCGTTCCGGCATTCTCGTTTGTTTAATAATATTCTTATTCTTTTGTAATCTTATTTGTTTCGTACTCTTATATTCAACTTGGTATTAGCGCAGGTTTCATCCTTCGGGATTTAATCTGCTTTGGGTTGGTATCCATTTGCTTATGTCCGTTTATCGTTCATGTTCAGATTGTCGAGTTGTGTTTGACAGTTTGCAGGGAAAAAAAGTGTGTTTGATTTTTTCAGTTGTGTTGACGACCTTCTGCTTTTTCCCTGCAATTCGTATTCGTCTCTGGTCACCTCACCTGCACATTTTGACGAAGCTCCGACCCGAGAACCACTCGGATCAAGTTCGTCTCCACTTGAACTCCTGCAAATCAGATTTGATAACTCGCCATTTATGTTCCGCACCGTACTTGCCATCTCCACTGCACCGAAACCTAATCAGTTTCGTCTATAACTTGCACCTCCGCACTAGACCCCGCATCCTCACCGCTGCTTTGATCGGCAATTCACTGCCACACCACTTCGCCACCCCGTAACCTATACTCTTGATTTCATACATGCACCACTACACCTGCAGCTTGATGCGCTTCCGCAACCCGTCGTCCCTCGTTGTCGTGTGCATAAGCCCTGAAACCCCTGCACTGACACCCTTTGAATCTGCATCTTCGTACCCACATCTGTCTACATCAAAACTTTGTTTTTGCATTGCCATCCCAAGAAAGAAGAAGAAAAGTAGAAAAGGAAGAAAAAAAAGAAGGGCTTGGAGCCCACGATATGTTGGGCTGTTATGATTTGTTTGAAGACCCTTTGTTGGGCTTGTAGATTGAAGCTACTGTTGAGCCTTTTGTTTGGCTTGTCTGTCGGTTCGCATTACGGAGCCTGTCTGTCTGTTTGTCCGCATTGCAAAGCCTGCCTGTCTGTCCGACTAATGAAACCTGCATCCACATCTACTTGTTGGCAAACTCATGTTGTTTATCGTTATGAGTTTGACAGGGGATGTTGGAAAATAATAGATTTAGGATTTGGACTCAGCCCGTTATAATTAGGTTTTGTTAGAGATTAGGGTTAGTTTATTGTAAATAGAGTGCTTTGTTATTCATTAGAGCATAAGTTAGTCGCAATGTAGCCTCTTAGGGGTTTGTAGCCGTTCCGGCATTCTCGTTTGTTTAATAATATTCTTATTATTTTGTAATCTTATTTGTTCCACACTCTGATATTCAACTCATATGTATCTTTAGCTTCAAAATCAAGCACATAAAGTATCTTATCAAGAATCATGTGTTAAACTTGCAAATTTCCTGCACCATATATTGCCTTTGTGAAGTAATTTTCCTCTATCGATTCCGGTTAGCGCACAAGAGGCTATGAAAGATCCTAAACGGAAGAACAAATGCAACGAATGAAGAGATGCAAGACAAGTGAAACTGGTTCCTCTTCCGTCGAAAAATGAATTTGAATGTAGATTTAGGAGTTACACTCTAAAGCAGATATTAAATGAAAAATACAAAGCCTTGGTGACAAAGAGATTTCTTAACAACTTAAGTTTGACAAAGAGATTTCTTAACAACTTAAGTTTTTTAGGCTAGTTGTTATCTAATTTTCGACCTATCAGGTTTAGTGTCAAGTCGTCTGTTACAACTAAGTAAGTGAATTTAAGATCTAATCTTTGGCCCAAACTTAAATGGATGTTACTCGAAATAATGCAATATCATACAATTGTCAATCATAACTATTTTTTTTTTTTTCATTTGATACATTAGTCTATGCTGAATTCATTTAAGTAGAGAGAATGAGATTTGAACTTGGGTGCAAAACAAAACACACCGCTCGTACCAATTTGGATAAACTAAGGTATGAAATTACAATGAATTGTTCAGAACAAATGGCATATTTAATCAAAATTCAGATAAACGATTCAAGATGCTTATGAATTTTGATATATTTTACAGTTTTTTTTTCCAAAAAAAATCAAATAACATAAATAATTGGCATAACACATTATTAGTCCAAAGGAGAAAGAAAAGCACAGAAAAAAGATACAACAATTAGACTCGGACATGACCACTCCTCCCCGGACCAGTTCTTCTTCAATGTTACAGATCCCTCCCTCCCCGCCAAGGAAAACAAAATCCCCAACCATTCTTCCAAAATTAATCAAAAGTATAAAAATTAAAAAATTAAAAAAATTAAAAAAAAATTAAAAAAAAACAAAGAAATCTGAAAATAATAATCTGAAAAAAAAAAAGAAAAAGGAAAAAACAAAGCCAAGTGGCCAACCTCCCCAACAAAAAAAATTGATTACTGAAAATAAAAAAATTGTTTCAGCACCCTATCCAAGCAGTCCACGTGTCCATGTTCTAGCCTCCAATCTCACTACCTTGTCAGGGGTCCCACATATAAAGCATATAAGTGGAAACACTTCACGTGAATGTAAGGCCAAAGTTAGCATTATATGCCACTGTATGCATCTGCATTCTGCATTGTATATTATATCATCCACGATGCATCTTCGACTTCAATTGAGAATTTGCTGCTCATTGTGATCCGTACAGACCATGATGTCTGGGTTTGATTGCTGCTGCTGCTGCTGCTGCTGTTGCTGTTGCTGTTGATGCTGCTGAGCGTTTTGGTTTCGGTTTCCTTGGTTGTCCATCTTCTTTAGGGTTTGGTGGTGATAGACCTGCCTTAACCTCTCTATTTCCTTCTTTAGTGCCTCTTGATGAGCTGCAAAATGTCAAGTTGAAATAAAATTTGGAACAAGAACAAATTTTGGGATTTGGATAAAATGTATGTTATTATTTGGTTACATGTAAGATATTCTGAACTACATTTATTTAAATTATGAAAAGAAAAATTCAAACTTGAAAGCAGTAGAGAGCACACTGTTCTAACCAATTTGGCTACACCAGATGTGAAAATAAATCTTGAGATCAACACTCTTAATCTTATCCATGTTTAATAGAAAAAACAACTAGTAGTAACAATTAGGGTTAATAATAATGCAATAGAATACAATTATGCTTCCACTTTTTTTTTCCCCTTATTTTTGAAGGGATTAAAAGGTATTTCTAAATCAATACTTTTTTTTTCCTATTAAGGAAGTTGGACAGTGAAAGGAAAGAAAGGACTTTCGGTGATATTCCTATGAATTTGTTCTCAAGTGGAAAAAGCACCATAAGATGAAGATTGAGATAAAGGGTTCATGCATGTATTATCTTCATATCACTAATTAAACACTAATTAAATAATAATTAATCATGGTTTATTAATTAAACTTATATCTTAATTACCATCTTTGAAAAGCTTGTCTTGAGCCAAAGCAGCAATCCGTTGCTTGAGAGCACTATTATCAACGTTTAGAATCAACCTCTGGTGGTCTAGAAATGCAACCCTTGGTGACAGCGCCGATACCTCCGACTTCAAATATTTTCATTAATCACAACACATACAAGTTTAATTAATTCAATTATTCACCAGACCAAGTTAATTACCAATGATAAGGAATTAAGCAAAGCAAAGTAATTGATCTTCTTGTATACCTGTAATGTTGTAACGCTGCGTTCAAGCTCCGAAATATATTGCAATTTTCTCACCCTCGACCTCTGTGCTGATTGCCGGTTTGCCAAAATCCTACAATCACAACCCAAAAATATTTGTAATTAAATTAAGGGAGACTTTGGATGCGGTCCTTAGTTATGAATATTATTTGACTGAAACCTTGTTGGTTTTCAATTTTGATTGAAGTCCCTGAAATTAATGTGATAATTTATTTCTATATATGTTACTATTTTTTTAAAATTAAAAATTGAAATTTATAGTTGTTTATATTAATGAGATTTTAAATAAAAAATCATAATATGTCGGATTTAAAAATATTAAAATATAAATATACTATTTGTGTGTGTGTATATAAAAACATGGGTACATTCTTAAAAATTTTAAAAAAATAAAGATATTAGGCTTAATAACATTAGTAAATTTCTTCAATTAAACTTGACATGGATACATTCTCAAATCAAAGAAAAAAGAATGTACCCATATAAGTTTAAAAATGGATTAGAAAAAAATTGAATAGACTTTATATATAAAAAAAATGGTACATTTTACATATAACAAATTGGTATATTTAAGAATGGGTACATTTTAAGATTAAAATTTTGAAAAAATTACATGAATGGGTGCATATAATTAGCATGGGTACATTTAGCAAAATTAAAAATGAATACAAATAAATAAAAAAAATATGGGTACAAATACAAATAAAACTTAAAAAAATATGGGCACAAAAAGAAATTAATGTATGGGTACAAATTAAAATTGACAAGAAAATTGGTACAAATTAAAACTGAAAAGAAAATTGGTACAAATTGAAAAAGGGTTGCAAATCAAAAATGTGTACAAACTAAAAATAAAAATATATGATAAAAAATTTAGCCATAAATATAAATATACTATTTGTAATATTTTTAACACTAAATGAATATATTTAGAAATAAAAAATATTCATTATTGAAATAATTAATGATGTTATTAATACCCAAGGACCTTGATTGAAAATTAAAAAGGAATAAAGTTTTAATCAATGGAGTAGCAAAACGAGGGATGTGAACCTAATTTATCCTTAAATTAAGCTGTCTAGTTATAATTAATGACATTTTGGCAGCAACCCAAAATTTTTGATTGTCCAAACCATGCATGCATAATCTTGTAACAAAATTGTAAATTAAACACATTGTTGTGAAATTACCTTTTGACCCTCTTTGGGTCAGCCGGGGAGGTGGGCGGTGGCGGATGAGATTGAGCATTAGCGTCAGCCTCGCACGACGAGCTTTCAACCTCTCCGGGCTCCGTTTTAGGCTGCTGCTGCTGGTCCAAATGAAGCATCAATGGCTTCATGTTATTATTATTGCCATTATTAATATTGTTCTCGTCGTTATTGCTGTTCTGGTCGGACGGCGTGGACGGGTTGGACGACGAGATGGTAGGCGGCACGGTCACCGACATGTCATCGGAGAACATGGACATTAGCTGCTCGTCGTCCAGTCTGTCGAAGCCGAGGTTGTTGGTCGATCCGTGATGATGCATCATGGTGGCGGTAGGATTCCTGCATTCCTCGTCAAGTATCAACGGGGACTCAAGAAAGGCAATGGAGTCGCTTGCAGACCTCCGATGGGCCCCGCGCCTGGCGGAGGAGAAGTCGAGGAACTCGTCCATCCAATTGCACGACGAGGATTGTTGTTGTTGGTTCGGTTGGTTGGAAGAGGGTTGAACTGCGGCGGCGGAAGTGGTCGTGGCGGTGGGGATGAAATTGGCCATGGCGGGTAGCCTTTGGTGAGGGAAGGATGGCCAATTTTGTGTCATGCTTGGTATTTTAGGAGGTAATTGTGCCATTCTCTCAATGTGACCTCCCCTCCCAAATATAGGGTACCCTAAAATATGTGTGTTATTAGAGAGAGAAACCCAAAACCAAAACTAAATCCCAAGAAAAAAAAAAATGGAAACACCAACAACCAAGCCAACAAACAACCTACAACTGCAATGATCCCTGAATATTTAGGGCAAATAAATCTCGGGAGTCCTAAAAAAACAGTAAAAAGAGATATTAAAGGGAAGTGAGCAGGGCAGCAAGAGTACATGGGCAGCTGCAGGAGAAGCAGGAATCAGAATGCAACATGCAGCTAGCATAATAATCATAAACATAAATGAATGAGTGGCATTTCCTTTGGATTTTTGGGGACATTTTTTTAAGGCCCTGAGGTTTTGGAGAGGGAGGGAGGTGGGTCACATGGGGGTGGGGATTAGGGACAGCTAGCAACAGCTGGGGAGGGAGGGAGGTGAGGAGGATTGGGGTGGTGGGACTCCCTCCAAAAGGGTTTCGATTCACTACTAGAAAAAGTATCTCACCACTGCATTCTCTGCGTGGTTTATTAACGGAAGGAGAAATTTTTCAGTGTGATCGGTATACGGGATGATACACTATGTGTCCCTATACAAATGGTGTGATATATGTGTTAAAATGTTAATAACTTAAAAAATAAAATTTTCCACCACTTGTATAAAAACACGTGATGTACCATTAGTATTCCGGTTACAATGAAAAAAATTTATAACCGAAAGGAATCAACCCCCCCACCCCACATGCCGATGTGACACCTCATCCTGCCCTTTCTCCCTCTCAACCCCATTACATTATGTATATGGATAGTATTTCTATACTATATACTATATAGGGTAAATCTTAGTTTACTACCCAAGTTTCATGGTTTTCAACATTTGGTATATGAAATTCTTTTCGTCCCAGAGTCATACCTAAAGTTTTAATTTTGGGACAGTCTCATACATCCGTTAGTCTGGTCGTTAAGTCTTCCGTTAACTGATGACTTGGCGCCCATATGGACAATGACTGGGCGCCACGTGTCAATAAGGATCCCAAGTGGATATTAAAAATTAAAAAAATTAAAAATTACAAAATTACAAAAAAAAATAAAGAGCTATCTTTTTCCTCAAACCTCGACCCTCCTACTCCGCCACACCTATCGTGCCGGCCACATATTCCCTCTCGTCGCCGTCGAAGCTGCAGAAAAATAAAAAATCTTCGCCTCAAAAGGATAGACAGGGGATGTAGGGCAAGCCAGATGGTAGATATGGTTGACCTCGAGCAGAAGTGGCTCAACGATGTCATGTTGGATGAGCTCGAATCTCGGCATGCCAGATGGTAGATTTGGTCGACCTCGAGCAAATGGTAGATACGGCCCCTCTCGTCACAACAATCCAGAGCCCTTTTTGTTTCAGCCCTAGTGGCACCTTCCTACTAGAACCCTAGCTATTCAATTCGAATCTACGTTCGTAGGCCGGCTTGTACTGGGTCGTCGTCGACGAATCAAAGTCGTATCGGACATAGTTCGAGATTGGGACGTTGCTGGAGGCGTAAGGAGAGCCGGGGGGTGGAGGACAGGAGAAGGGTGAACCCTACGGTGGCGATAGCAATGCCGACGAGGATGAAAACAAGGCGCTGTTCTCGGAGCAAGTACTGAATCGGGTGGGTGCAGAGGAGAGAAGGGAGGGAGAAAGGAGGGAGAAGGGAGGGAGGGTTGGGGGTTTGAGGAAGAAGATAGCTTTGGTAATTTTTTAATGTTTGCTTTTTAATATCCATGTGGGACCCTTATTGACATGTGGTACCCAGTCATTGTCCACATGGGACGAAAAAAACTTCATGTACCAAATGTTGAAAACCACAAACTTGAGGGTAGTAAACTGAGATTTACCCTACTATACATGTATCCTATAATTTAATGAATTGAAGCACTGAATATATATATAGTGTGTTTGTGTGTGTATATATATTATATATATCACTTGTGTATTACACTATGCATATACAAAAGATATGTCATATGGATACGAGTCTGAAGTTCCTTGTAGTTGTAGAGCATTATTGAGCTTTTTTGATCCTTTGGATACAATAATGCTGCAAAAATCTATGGGACATATGGCCCATTTTTGTTAGTTATCTCATAGCATTGACCAAGATCTTGGGGATGAATTTTGATTGCAATCGATTTGTAGGATCTAATAGTTATGGGCAATGATTTATGCATTCTTTTAACTTTTTTTTCCCCTATTTTCTTATAATCGTTTACCTCAATTTGCTTTTTGTAGATATTTTTATTGTGATCGTAAAACCGCCTAATGGTGTGATTGTAATAAAGACAATCAAGTTGTATGATCAATCCAAAGATATTATAATACGTGATATTAGTAATATTATACTCCAAAGTGTAACTATGATGCTCATTTATGTCATATAATCCATAGATTAGTAGAGAGTGTTGTCCAATACTAACATGTAGTGTGATCACAACATTGTCATGTGACTGCCACACCACCAATCAGGTAATGTGGCTAGACCAATGTTATAACATGTTATATTTATTGATGTTAAATTATAAAGTATAAGTTCATTGTTCATCCATGCTATAATACCTGAATTATTAACACTTGGTAGTGATCATATCATTTTTATGATACATAAATATATAATTTTTTTTTCTGTAATGAAAAAGAATGAAACATGACCATTATTATACGATCAAATGGCCATGTCAATTCATAAACTGTCGTGATTTTGAAGTATGCATGTACAAGCAATTAGGGGTGTGGGAGACTAATTACATATATAAGAGAAGTCCTATTTGGGTATATAAAATACATATAGTGGAAGGATGTAGGAATTTAGAGAAGATGAGCTGTGAAAGGGAGGGAGAGCTTATAAGAATCATCTCCTCCTCCTCCCATGTGAATTGCTAGTAAGAGTCCACCTTTGTTTGCTTTGTCTCCAAATCAACCTCACATGGGAGGGTTTGAGAGTCCCCTTTTGCCCCTCTCTCTCTCTCTCTCTCTCTCTCTCTCTCTCTCTCTCTCTCTCTCTCTCTCTCTCTCTATATATATATATATATATATATATACATGACAAGTTTCTTGATATCTTCCATTATCTTATGTTGGCAGTCATGTTGGTTTTTTAATGAAAGTACTTAGGAGACACTAATAATGATTAGTGGAAAAGTTAGAAAGCATGTTAATTAATTAAGTACTTGATCCCATAGTTTGTCACATAGGTGTACCCCATCTACATGCATTAATTCATTTCAAATTTCACCCACTTGATAATGTACGTATAGAACACATAATCCTAATTTGTTCTACCATTTGTTAATAATCAAAAGTCAAATGTATCAATAGTTGTCATATATATCAGTGTACTAAAAAAAATAACAATCAATGGTTTGTATAGCTAGGGTTTACATCATCACCTCCGCTCATCACATATGTTTATTCCATGATTAATGTATAATTTTTATAACCGACATTATTGCTCTAATTTTGTAAGGGCAAGTCTTAAGTATAAACCTATGAGTTCAATATAAATTTATTTTTCACCTCTATGTGTAAATAAATTGTTGCATATATATATATATATATATATAAACTACATAAAAAGAGGAGAGTTTGAACTGAGAACAGTGAGTTGAAGCGTTGAGTATAACCATACAACGAATATATGATAATTAGTGGTTTGCATGTGCCTTTCCTTTACCATTCACAGCTAAAAGAATTTCCTAATGTAATACAATAATAATCCTTTCTGTTTTTTCGAATCCCAAAAATGCTGAAGTACCGTACAGGAAAGGGGAGAAGGGGAAGGAGGGACTGCAAAATATGAATACAAAGCATTATTGCACGTGGAAGGAGCACTGAGGGCCCTGCCTGTTTTTTCTGGGTTTTTTTTTTTTTTTTTATAAATAAAAACTAGATGGAGTCCACACACATGGTAAATATAAAAAATTTAAAGAGAAAAAAAAATCAAATTATGAAAGAGAGAAGTTGAACAAAACTGTGAGAGAGAAAAAAAACGTGGGTAATTTTTTTCTGAGTTTCTATTTCTTTGAACCGGAGACATAACTAGACAAACTTAATTACATTCCTCATCAGCTTGACCATGATTAAGAATACGGGGTATTACTTTTGGTCTAAACTGTTGAAAGTTCAGAAAACAATGGCCGTCGAATTGTTATTAGCCATAAGTTCTTGCAGGCAGAGATATCTTAACATTAGATAAATTTCTCATGATGGGGTCAGATTGATATTTCGAATGTTTGATCATTTTGGAGTAGTGCTGCCTTTATATATATAGAGATGGGTTTTTATCATAAATGGTCATTGAAATTGACCCTCGCTATCAAGATGGTCCTTGAAATTAAAAATCAATCAAAGTAGTTTCTGAAAATAGGTGTTGCAAATTAATGTGGTCATTCCGTCACAATTCTGTTTAAAATTCCGTTAAGTGATGATGTGGCACATAAATGGGCCCCACAAGATTTATGGGTTTTTATCACAAATGATCCCTGAAATTGATCCACACTATCAAGATTGTTCCTGAAATCGACTCACATCATCAATATGGTCTCCGAAATTGAAAATCAATCAAAGTAGTCCTTGAAAATAGAAGTCGCAATCAATATGATCATTCGGTCACAATTTTGTAAAAAAAAAAATTTGTTATATGCTGATGTAGGTTTAATAATTAATTAAAAAAAAATTGTCTATATACTTTTTTGCACAATGGAGTTTTCTTTTTCTTATAGTAGGGCCTACTCTGAAGAGAGCTCCCTTCCATAAATTTTCAAAGGCACAAGGCTTAACTAAGGCCCAAGAGGGGGTGTGGAAATAATTTTCAACCAACAATAGACGAACCTTAGTTATAACCTTATTATCTCAAAGCAGACCTTGTCGTTCTTTGCATTACTAGACCACCATGGAGGCGCCGAACAAGCTCTCCAAGATTAAGGTTGTGAGGATGTTGATCGCCTAAATGTTAACGGTGATGTCCCAAAAGTCATTGTCAATAGGCCAAGCCGTCACCAAATGTGATCTCTATCCAGGTTCAATTCGGTGAAAGGTGTTGAAGTGTGTAAGGATAGGCGTATTAAGATTTTTTATTTTTTTTAGAATAGAGAGTGAAGGAGGTATAAAAATGTGAACTGGGATCAGAGGTGATTGTAGGATTGGGTTTTTGGGTTGACAATTTTTTTATTAACTATTAAATTATTAAGCCTATTTGTAATTTTTTTTTAAATTTAATTAGACTTGTGTGACTCATTTATATGTCACATCAGTACATAACAGAATTTTTGACAGAATTGTGACGAAATGACTACATTGATTTGAGACACTTACTTGAGGGACTACATTGATCAATTTTTAATTTCAATGATCATTTTGATATTGCGGGTCAATTTCAAAGACCATTTTGATGTCATGGGTTAATTTCAAGGAAAATTTGTGAGAAAAAAAAGGACTTATTGGGCCCATTTATGTGTCACATCAGCACTTAACATATTTTTTAACAGAATTGTGACGGAATGACCAAATTGATTTGCGAC